ACATCGGCGACTGTATCGCAAAGAAGTGCTGATCACAGCGCCAACAATGGCATCAATCAAAAGCGACACTCCCTGTGCTCGGCCTCACCGCCAGCGCCGGCACCCGTGTATCAAAGATCTCAGTCGCAGATGGAGCCCAACCAGAGCCGAGTGCAGGGCAACCACCAGTCCCTCAGACACTCGATGGAGATGTTGAACACGTCGATAGAGGACGAGGAGGAGGGCCAGTGGTCGACAGAGTTCGCTCGCACGGCTGTCATCCGCAAGAGTTTGAGAGAAAACAGTCACAAACACAGTCTCAACAGTAGTAATGATCTGCAAAACACATGTCATACCAATGAGGGCTCAACACAACTGCACAACACATCCACAGCACCCGTCCTGTGAGTTGACGCCACTCTATAGCTATAACTTAATTATTATCTAATTTTGAACACAAGTCCTGTCGAGTCGAGAGAAAAAAGAAAATTTGATTACAAACTAGTGATCCATTTGTGTAGTGATCTTGAATTGAAGACACGATTGATTAGTGTTTGACAAACACTTACTCTTTGGTGTCTTTCTTATATAAATGTAGTTTTCTTAACACTTTTAAAGCTATTCATGTGTTTCTCTCGTGTGTCAAACGCTTTATCTGTAATTGAATTATATTTTATTGAATTATTCTCTTATTTCTTCGGTTGAATCGCTCGTCGCGTCGCTTATCTGGTATGCGATGGATATGTCTATAGATATGTCGCTCTCTATAACTATAGACCGCAGAAGAAGGACGAGTTGGACCTCAAGAAAGGAGAGTTGTATTCAGTGAGTGAGAAGTGTCACGACGGATGGTATAAAGGAGTGTCCGTTCGTAATGGATCTTCCGGTGTATTCCCAGGCAATTACGTACAGTTAGCCAAGTATTGCAACCATTCATTACTCATTCATTGTTTCAAATGCTTTTAGTTTTTATTTTCTGTGAAGTCTTATAATTAACTTTTTTTGGCTGATTTGTTTTCTGTGGCTTAAAGTCTGTTTATATTTCCATTGACAGATTGTCGACACAGTTGTCTCAATATCCGTGTCCATTGAGCGCGAGCACCAAATCACAGTCCATATTGAATGCCAATCCTAATCAACACAGCAGTCAACTGCCGAAAGAGCCGCCGATTCCCAAACCTAAGCCTATAATTCACGCCAAACCATCGATAGCTCCATCGGCGTCGACAACCACTGCGGCGGTCAATGAGGTGATCGCTCAGCCGACGAGCTCACAGCCAAACACCGCCAGCACTGCCACCGATAATGCAATAGTCTATGCAAGACCACGACCCACCGGTCAACCCATTTACGACGCGTCGAGAAATTTGTCGGCTTTAGTGCCACCGCCGCCGCCCACTCAACGGCCCGGTCGACCACTCAGTAGTATTTTAGTGCCTAATACTAAGCCGTCGGACGAACGCAATTCACCGCAGAGTCAATTGGCTCAAGCGCTCAACCAGTCGCTACTCGTCTCCAAACCCCAGTCCGCCTCCCAGTCCTCACTCAATCAAAGGTAAGCGAGATCTCCATATTAATCCAGTTTTGCATTCATTTAAATAGCATTTATGGCAATCAAATGAGTGATAGTTTTGAAAATGAAATCTAATTTTTCTCATGGTTTGATTTTAGATTTTAAACTTATATAGAAATCATACAATTGTTTAATATTTAGTTATAAATGTCATTTAATAACTTAATAGTATAAGTTTAATAACATAATTATGAAACTTTTTTCGGTCAAAACTATTAATCATTTGACTAATTGATAGTAAAGTGAAGCGAAATTATTTGCAAATTGCCGTTGAATTCAATAGGAATGATGTTTTTATTTGATTAATGAATTCTGTGTTAAGAATTCATTTTTTGTGAANATTTGCAAATTGCCGTTGAATTCAATAGGAATGATGTTTTTATTTGATTAATGAATTCTGTGTTAAGAATTCATTTTTTGTGAACGCGATTCTCAATCATTAGCTCCGGAATAATGTTGTGCTAATGACTGCTTATTTTGAACACAACTTCTGGCTATTAATGTGAAGTTTTTATTACAAATGGAAAGTTATAATGACTTATGTTTTCTCAAAACACAAACCCAGAGAGACACTGATCTCCAGTTCCGGTAATCATATAAGTATTCGTTACTTATAATCATTACATTAGTTTGAATAAAGTATTAGATTTTGTTGCTGTTTATGCCGAGACTTAATATTCAAATTAGAGGTCCATTAAGTCGATGGACTTTTTAAGAGCAGACATCCATTTAAAAGCAAACTTTTTTTATTTAGTTTTCTCTAATGTTTGCCTATAAATGAGTTTTTAAATAATTTTTCGTGTATTATCCAGAATTTCATACAATGATTCCCTTTTGTCAGAATTTTTATTAAGCATTTTATATGAAAAGTTTAGATATAAGCAAAAACTTTTCTTTCATCGCAATTACACATCTCTTTTATCCACTAATAATATGTTTGAGTGCTATTAAAAGGACATTAAAGTCATTCAAATCATTAAGAGATTGAATCTCTTTTAGCGAATCAGACAGAAAAATGTTTTGTTGATGAAAATGATAATAAGGAGTATTTTTGTCCAGAAATTGTTGCCATAATATGTCATAATTATATGCTATTGAATGCATTATCAAATTGAAACTCATATCGTGTTACGATCTATTAATGGTATGGTTTGTCTCACTGGATGTAGTACTCAATGGCATCAGCCGAAAGTGGCGGCCACGAGGAACACGATATCAATGGCCACCAACACGTCGGCCGCAGCCATAACTCCGCCGCCAAACGTGTCGGTGATGTCGTCGGGCGGCGGGGCGTCGATGACACCGACCAGTCATAGGCCGCCCACCGATCGAAAGGAATCCAAAACGAAAGAGAAATCAAATTTCATAAAACGCTTGACGTCTTCAAAGCCTAAACGCAAACATCAGATGAATAATAATAACAATAACTGTAATAATAGTAATAATAACCACAACAATAGCTTTTCGTGTGATAATCCGTCGTTTGTGGACACGTCGCCCAACAGTGTGGCGCCCCTTCACATCAGGTCCGGCTCCTGTCCTAACGAGTCGTTACCCGAATTACAGTCACATAAGAAACAGTCCTCTTTTGACGACACAAATACCGTAAGTCTTTGTGTTGTTATGCAATCAATCAATCATTTGCTGACAAAAACTATTTGTTTGTCTCTTAAGTCTCTTTTCTGAGAAATATTTTTTGCATACATTTTACAATTGGTGTCAAATGTCACGAATTTTATGTCTAAAATGTTTGCTTTATTTTGCACAGTTTACAAATCCACTAATTCTTAGCCGACTGCTTCTCACGCCATTTCCTCAGCGGTGTTCACGGCGTTGGGTAACGCGGCGGTGAGCACTCCCTCTCCAAGGCTACACATCACGGAATAGGCGCAAACAGTGAGTACGAGTTGGAACTACAGGTCGGAGATATCGTTTACGTCCATAAGAAGCGAGAGGACGGCTGGTATAAGGGGACACTTCAGCGCACCGGCAAGACTGGCCTCTTTCCCGGCCCTTTCGTTGAGAGCTTTTGATGCATTCATTCATCCATTACTTCAATCCCTGTAAACCTCACAAATTTAGGCCTATTTTCGCTATTTTTACTGTTATATAGACGTCTATACGGTGTATATGATTAACACCTAAACACTCATCCCTTTTAACCAATCTGTAGATAATATTGATTTTTAATTGTCTTTTCAAATCGTGTTTTACTTGTTATATAGTTTTTTTGCTGAGAAAACTATTGAAACGAACAAATCGTTAAATTCATAAGAAATTCATAAATTTATTATAATTTATTTTTTTTCAGAAAAAAACTAATTTTTTGAAGTCTTATTCCAAGAATCGTTATAATTATGAGAATTTTTAGTTTAAAAAACTTTTTTTGTTAGTATTTTATGACATTTTGAAGTGAATAACAGTCTTTAAATATTATTAGTCGATATGTTATGCAAAAATTTTACTAGAAATCAATGTTTAACACAAAATCAATCGTTTTTCGTGCTTTGAATACACGCTTTATTTGTGGTCTTTTAAGCACTGAATTATCTATAAAATGTAATTAAAGTTTTGTACAATTTTTGGTCTCTCTTTCCGTGAAACGCATAGAAAGAGTTGTTTTAATGGATTAATGAATCATAAACTCAATGAATACCTATTGGGCCAACATTTATATTAATGATAAATCATAAGTATTACGAGAAATATGTCTCTCTTTCCGTGAAACGCATAGAAAGAGTTGTTTTAATGGATTAATGAATCATAAACTCAATGAATACCTATCTATTGGGCCAACATTTATATTAATGATAAATAATAAGTATTACGAGAAATATATAATTGAAATTTTCTATAATTAATTAACAAAATAATAAACTGTAATTATATTGAATGCCAACACTTTTATACATACAAATTGATGACTTGTGACAAAATAATTAGTAAATTGTTATATAAAAAGACTAATCGATACACAATTAAATACCAAATATATATATATGATATAAACATAAATCTATGAGTCCAGTGTTTATTAATTATAATTTGTAATTAATTTCAATTTACAACTACTATTAAAGTCAATACGAAATATTATGAATAAAAATACAAATGTTTTATTGAATTGTCGTTGAGTTTGTTCCGTGTCGTCGATGCAATACCTGATCAATGAGTGGTGAACTTGCGGTGCTCTCGGCTATTGGTGTGCAAAATGATGGCAAACAGAGCCGAGTCGATGGTCTCGCAGGCGATGGATTTGTTGCACTTCAGGCACACGTAGGCGTCGGCGCCGATGCCGTCCTTCAGGCGGACGCCTTTGTCTCGCAAATCGATTTTGGTTTTGTTGTCCAACCGATAGATCGCTTCCATTCGCGCGAACCCGATGTCGAACTCATCGATTCGGTCCGATTTGACCGAAAACATGGCGTCAATGGGTGTCATATACTCACCGCGTCTGATCTTTTTGTGGAAGGATCTGCTCAAGTGATAGATTGCCGTCTCTTTGCTGTAGAAGTTTGTGTTGCAGAACATACAGTAGTAGTAAATGTCGGGAATCTCGTCATCGCTTCCCGACGAAGACATTTGCTTTCGCAGAGATTTGTCTTGTTTTCGATATTTGATGCCTTCGTTGCGAAACAGTGTCTCAATTGACTCGCAATTGCTTTCCATTTGTCTCATCAATACCTCGAAGTCCGTGTTCTGTGTCGTGGCGTCCGTGTCATCGGCCGTATCAGTGGTTCTGTTGAGTAACGAGTTCTTCAATTTGTTGAACTCTTTTAAGTGATTCTTACAGTCTTTTAATCTCTCGAATAAATGGTTACATTTGGTGCACACGAAGGCGTTGGCGCCGAAGCCGTCCTTCACTTTGATTCCGTGGCTTAGGAACTCCTCCTTCAATGTGTAGGATATCTCGCGAATGGTCTCAATGCGGGCCAACACTACCTCAATGTCTGAAGTGTTGGAGCTCTCGGTGACAATGAGTCGGTCGATGCCTCTGAACGGCATTTCGGTCTTCCATTTGTTGTGTTCATCGCTTTGGATGTGTTTGAAGGCCTTCGACACACTTTTGTTGACAAACTCACAGAACCTACACTTCAACAGAAACTTGTGACGACTTTTGGGCACCACTTGAAAGCCTTGTCGCACCAGTTGTTCCACTTCTTCGGCCACATCTTCGGGCACTTTGAAGTCGATGTGTTTGTCGTCGGACTCCTTGTGATTGTGTCGAACTTTGCGACTCTTGGACGACTTGGACGTCTCGTCTTTGCTGTCGTCCTTGGAATCAGTGCTGGAAATGGGCTTCAGATTGAGATAATGGTTGAAGTGTTGTGTCATTTGGAGTCCGTCGCGGAATGATTGGTCGCATCGGAGGCAGACGTAGGACTGGGGGCCGAAGCCGTCCTTCAGCCGAATGCCGTGTTTTATGAAAACCCTCTTCTCTTTGGCACTAAATCTGTTTAACTCTTGCTTTCGACTCAATATATACTTCAAGTCACTCTTGTCTCGAATTTCGGTCAAAAACTGGCGGTCGATGTCCTCGTAGTTGTCTTCGCGCTTATTCTTCATGTGTTCAAAACTGCGGATATGTTT